ACAGAAGGTCGTTTACGACGCGCAACAGGGCTGTCTCAGTAGAGTGATGCACCCTGTATGCTGATTGGAATGGTTCAAACAAGTCAAACTGAGTGAGGTGATCCAGGAGTTGGCGGAGAACGACTTTTTCTAAGATTTTAGAAATAAATGGTAGATTTGAGATGGGGCGGTAATTTTCCATCATATTTGGGTCAAGATTTGATTTCTTTAATAGTGGAGTGACGATCGCCTCTTTAAAAGATGATGGAACAATACCAGTAGCTAAGGACTGATTTATGATATAAGTGATGATGGGGACTATTTCATCCAGACATTCATACAAGAGCCCTGCTGGAAGAGGGTCAAGCGAACATGACTTTCTTGGGGTATTAGCGACTTGTTGGACTCATATTAGACATGTTGGTTACAATGGCTCACATATGATATGTTAGACACGCCAGTTAAAATGGCTCACATATAATATGCTAGACATAAATTATTTGTTACAATGGCTCACAGATGAAATGTGAGACACGCCAGTTACAATGGCTCACTGATGATATATTAGACATTTTTGTTTCAATTGCTCATGGATAAAATGTTAGACATGGTGGTTGCAATGGCTCACAGATGATATGTTAGACAAGCTAGTTAAAATGGCTCACATATGACATGTTAGACATGGTAGTTACAATCTCATCGATGACATGTTAGACATGATAATTACAATGGCGCACAGATCATATGTTAGACATTTTGGTTACAATTGCTCTCAGATGATAAGTTAGACATTTTGGTTACAATGTCTTACAGATTATATATTACACATGTTGGTTACAATGGCTCACAGATTATATGTTAGACATGTTGGTTACAATGGCTCATAAGTTATAAATTAGACATTTTGGTTGCATGAAATGTTAGACAAGCAAGTTACAATAGCTCTCATATGACAAGTTAGACATATTGGTTACAATGACTCACAGATGATACGTTAGACATTTTGGTTACAATGGCTTACAGATTATATGTTAGACATGTTGGTTACAATGGCTTACAGATGATATGCTAGACATGTTGGTTACAATCACTCAAAGATATGTTAGACATTATGGTTACAATGACTCACAGATGATATGTTAGACACGCCAGTTACAATGGCTCTCATAAAATATGTTGACAAGTTTGTGAATCGGGGAGCCTGTTGTCCTCAACTATCAGAGACCTTGGCTTTTATATTGACAGTAAACTTAGTATGATTCCTCATATCAGTTCTGTTGTCAAGGCATGATTCTGTCATTTTGTGCCCTGGTTGAGCTGCGTCCTCAACTCAATAGGAGAACAGCCAATGCTGTAGCGAAAACTCTTCTCCAGTCAAGATTATATCACTGTAACAGTTGGTTTGTGGGGTTTACCTATGAACCGAATTCATAGACTCTAAAAGATTCAAAATACTGCAGCACGCATTGTATCGCGGAGATCGAAATCTGACCACATCACCTCAGTTCTACGATATTTCCGTAGAGATCCTGTGAGTGAGCTCATTAGCTACACAATTTTGTCCCTGTCGTACAGCTGCATAGATGCCTCAGCACCATAATATCTCAAAGAACTGATTTATAAACGTGTATCCTTGAAGATCATGCGGTCTTCTAGTATACTTATACTTACTGAGTGTTTCTTATGTGGATGAACACAGCAAAAAGTCTTCCGGAATGCGCTCTTTTAAAAAGAAAGCGCCAAAATAATGGAAAAGTTTGCCTTAATCTTTGAGGGGAATTGTAAATGATAATTAATCAGCGAAGAAACATTTTAAAACTTTTTTGTTGAAATAGATTTCGAAAAACCAGAGCGCAGTGAGCATGCTAAAGTGGCATGGATACCAGCGCGATATAAATATCAAAATCAATCAATCAAAACAAATAAGTTATTAACTTATTATACAGTGCAACTGTTGGAAGACCTATCAACTTAAGTATTGCCTATATTGGTGTGGGAAGACATCAATCACCAATAAATAAATTAATCAAGATATATTGTAATATCACACAAACAAACAAATATCACTCACTTGAAGAACTATTTGAAGAAAAATGTGATTGTAAACATTTTTTTAAAAAGGATGGCAGGTCCCATCCTATCCATCACAGATACTGAAGATCAGCTGGATCAAGGCGAATTCTTTCTCTTAAAGTTAGACCGAAAGCTATAAAATTATTGTGCTCCCCAGTCTGTACGAATTTATCAGCATGATCCCATAATATCATCATCAGTGGCGCTACATCCCATGTTGGTCCCTGGCCTGCTCCACCACATCCTTCCATTCGGAATGATCCATGGCTTTCCGCCTCCATGCGCAAATTCCGTCTCATCCTTCGGCGACCGGTGATTCGCCTGCCCCTAGTTTCTGCCTGTGTATCACTTTTGCTGCTCTACATTCCGGCATCCTTTCAATATGTCCTGCCCAGCGCTGTCTACCATTTTTATTGTTGCGACTTTGGGTGGGTCTTTGTACAATGGGTATAGCTCTTGGTTTGTGCGGATTCTCCACGCATCATTTTCCGTCACTGAACTGTATATTTTTCTGAGGATTTTCCTCTCCCATGTATTTAGAAGGTTATCTGCTTTTCTGGTAAGGGTCCAAGTCTCACTATCATAAGTTACTACTGGTCTTAAGATAGTGGTGTATTTTGTCTTCTTTGTTCCCTTTGAAAGGTTTTTGCTTCCCAGTAGCTGCTGTACGCTAAAACACGAATGGTTGCCTGCTTTTGTCCTTCCTTTTAACTCCGAAATTATTTCTTTAAGCTCGTTTACAATTTCCCCTGGATATTTGACTGTAGCCACTCTCTCAAACTTGTGGTTGTTTATATTGATGTTGTCATCATTGTGGGAGTTTCATGACATTATCATGTTTTGTCTTTGGTTCATATAAATCAAGAACAGCTTTGACTGAGGCATTTTTAAGTTCTATGAATGTTTTTAATTATGGCATGACTGTTTCAAACCAGTAGCTCTATAACGTCTGTGTATGGCAGACGCTTCAGTGGCTGGCTATACAGGATTTCTGATGGTTGTTGTTTTATAATACCTCTCTGGAAGTAGCTTTTATGGTTCCAATGGTGCTTACGTATATTCTTCTAATAACTTTTCTATCGGAATGTTAAACAGGATGCTTGATAGTGACTCTCCTTGTCTGAGGCCCTGATTAACTGGGAACTCCCTTGAGTATTCTACCTGCACTTTGTTTCCACATTTGGAGTAAGCTATCGTCATAAGTAGAAGCTGAGTAAGAGTAATCTTGCTAGGGACTCAAAATTGTTGTCGAGCGTTATATAAGTAATTCTTGTCTACGCTAGCATATGCTGTCTTGTAATCATGGTGTAGTTGGTTAAGTCGATGTTATATTCGTCATATTTCCCCCAGGAGACATCAAATTGTAAAAATATGATCCGTGGTTGAGCTATCCGGAATCCGCATTGGTAGTCCCCTAGGATCAGTTCACTGTAACTTTCTAGTTTTCTTGCTATAAGTCTTGTGAGACGTGATCCAATAGGGTTTACTCAATCCTTATCATCACTAATTAAGTCGTTATTGTCACTTAGGGAGTTCCTTGATAGCTGGTTTACACGTTTGATAAATACTTTACATGTCTAATGTTTGAATTGTTCTATACTTGTAAAATGTTGTGTTTGTTAAAATATGTATTTATTATGTGTTAAAATTAATATTGAAAATGTAATTTAAAAAACATTTTCATTAATTTTGACTAATAAATTATTTTATTTTAAATAACATTTCATTTTTTTTCCAAATTTGTGTAATTTTCGTTTGTTTTTAAAAACAACAAACACTTTTCTGATAATTCACCACCGCCCCACTAAATCTACATTTTTTACAACTCCCCTGGGCCATTCCACAACCCCCTATGGTGTGGTGTCGCCCACTTTGAGAACCACTGGTTAAAATGTTCATGCATTTGTATTCCTTTATTCACAGGATATTTGGAAAATAAATTGTAACTATCTTTGTCATGTAGCCTATTGTTCAATTTAGGAGTCAGAAATAGGATGCAGAATTCTTTAGATTAATTAGACACCAACAATTTGTGTCAATATAACAATATAATTTAAGCTTTAATAATAATTATAAATAATGCACAAGTAAACGTTTCGGCACATGCCTTCATCAGTACAACAACAGAAAATTAAAATAAATATTCTAGTATGTTAAAATATTCTAGTACTAAAAATGACAAAAGGCAGGTACAAATGTATAGTAGCAGTCAGAATTAAGTTTAATTAACTAATTCTTTATACTTCATTTCCCTCCCACAGAATTGATGACGTCATTCCTAAGCAACTAAAGAGAGATTTGACGTCTACACACTTTTGGTTTATGAAACGCAACCATTTTCTGAGGCAAATAAGAAAGGCTTTTCTGCATTGAAATTATGAAATTCATCTTATGTTTCTACTATTTATGTTGTTGCAGATCTGGTAAGTTACCGTTGTGTATATCAGGCTGCTGGCACCGTACTTTGACATAGTGCTTTGGACTTCATGAACTAGTTAGTTATTATTAGTCCTTTTCTTTGACGAAGTCTGGAAGTCCTTGTCGTTCGCAACAAAATGGCGGACGAGAACACACTGCAGATCGGAGGCCTTTCTTGGTATTGGCTTTTGTTTTAACTAACAAATGATGCGCGAGGCTTAAACAACAATATTTGTTTGTTTTTTTTTATTTTAAGAGTAACTAATTTCCTAAGAGATTATACGCGGAGGAATGTTACCGGTGGTTTCAAACTCTTAGTGCCTGCCGCGCAGGTAAATTCAAAAAGGTTTCTTCTCTAAAATGTGTTGTTTTTTGGGGTAAATTTCGACAACCGGAAGGTAATCTTACCACCAGATTTCGAATCATCTCAATAGAAATGGTATGGAGCATATGGTTAATTCGTTAGTTCGGTTAATACTAATAATAAGGATTGTCAAATGTTTTTTTAAAAAAAAAAGAATTCGATTAACAGACTTGAGGTTTCTGATAGTAAAAATGACAAGGTCATTTAGTGCTTGTCACTGTTTGAGCTTATTGTTCTCTGAAAAAAGATTTTAAAATTTGCGTTAAAGCTTGACATTCACAAAAAATATTTCCGAACTAATCAAATGATAGGTTCATTCAGGTCACTGCCGGCCTTCAGAGTGTTCGACCTGTGCCCTGACAAAGGGGCGCCATGGCCCGTAAAATATTTAACCCCCCCCCCTAGTTTATTATAGTGAAGTGTGAACCTCGCTTCCAGGGGTCGAGAAACGGTATTCTAACATTTTCGTACAATCGCTTGTTATGCATTTAGTTTTTATACAATGAAAACGGCATTCCTAATTTGGATACTAACACTGGGGTTAGGACCAACGGAAAGGGTGTGGAAATTAATGTATTAATACCGTATTTCCTTGTTCCTCTTACAATTATTTCAGCAGAAAGAATATGGGGAATAAAAAGCTTTCCGGGGCGCAAAATCGCAAGCGCAAATCATAAAAAAAGCACTCATGCTCCATAGCCTACGTCGTATTCGGAATAAATGCTGAGCCGTACAGGGACAGGGAAGGGGGCGCCGAACGGATGCCTCGCATAAGGCAAAAGTTTACTTTAGGCCGGCTATATTCAGGTCGACGTACATTATTAAAGCATGAGATTCTGAAGTATGCTGAACTCAAATTGGAGCTTGCTAAATCAATTCAAGACTTTCAAATTGATAAACCTCTATTTTCATTCCTTACCAAACCCCATTTTAGTGATCATAACACTTGCCAATTAAATTGGCAATCTCTCAATCTCTCTCAATCTCTTTCAACGCCTGGGTGATAATAACTTTGTTATACGGTCATCTTAATTCAGTGCGTCAGTATTGCAAAACATTAAATTTATGCAAAATCGTGGAAATCCCTCTGCTCGGTTCTCTCTCGCTTGAAAATAACTTGTCAAAATATAAAAAAAGAATTATTACTGGTTTGTACATCAACTTCTGTTATTACTTTGTAAATTTTTTTTTATCTTTGTTTTTTTTTATTTCTTCCCCAGTTCTGTGCGTACTTCCGATTACATTTAAAACGAATGTGAGCACAAGTGAGCCCTTCACGTTGGTCTGCGATCATTTGAGATGCGATGTAAGCTCAGCCTATGGCCAATTCTTTAAAATAGAACTAGGAAAGAGTGAATACGAGGCATTGAATAACTCGCACAAGCCACATCTCGCTAAAATTGATGCGAAAGATGAATCCCGGCACATTGAGTATGATACTTATGACACGGTAAAAATTATATTTTGAAATTTCTAATATTGTACGTTTAACCCCATAAAAATTTAAATAAAATTACATGAGCAATATGTATTTTCTTAGAACAATGTCTGCAGCTTTGACACCAGTTCTTTCATGAATGCTATCAAGGACTTATCGCTGGTTACCATAGGCAGTGACCCATGTGACGTGACATACATACACTAATGTTAGCGTGCAGCGCACATGGTTTTAAGCCAACATGTACACATATTAGCCTGTGACATAAGTCTGCCAAGTTTCTAAATACACAATTTAATTATATTTTTTTACCATTAAAGAATCATGTGATTATGTCCACATTGGTGGGGGGGGGGGGAGACAAATTGTCTTCGTATCATAACGCAACGGAAGTGTCGAAAAGTGTCAATCTTCCTGCGCATTGTTAAATCAATTAATTTTCTTCTCAGGATATCCCTTTTGGAAGGGATTGGAGGGTGTCTTTTCACAGTGACAACAGTACTCACAACAGAGACGTTTTAAATGTGACTCTCACGGTGATGGATACAGTAATGGAAGACGCTGGCCACTATTTTTGCATAATTCATTACTATGATCCTTCAATAGAAGAATGCCAGGAGGAGATTACACTCACTGTCTACAGAGGCAAGTTTGAATATAAATTCGTTAAATTCGACCCAGATTGGCACGGTTTACTCTGTCGCAGAGTTTAAACTTTGGTTTCAAAGGTTGGAATCAAAAAAAAAGGGGGGGGTGTGAGAGAGAGAGAATTATTTCGGTTATTTCTTAAAAGTTCTCATGTCGGTTACAGCTTGTTCAGCAAGACGCGTATTGTCACAGAATTTCACAGATTGTCACCCTTAGCCAGAACCAATCAATGTATACCAGAAGATAGCTTCGCAAAATTACTAAGTTCGGTAGCTCCTCAATGCACAAGTTGTTTAAATAGTTTTTAAATTGCGAACACATTTATAAGGACGCAAAGTAACCCTTACCGAGGAACATTTAAATTTTTTTAAAAATTTTTAAAGACTTTCTTTCAAATACAAGTTCAAAAGCGCTAAAAAGTGTTAATAATTCATAATTTAAGATAAATTAAAATGCCATAAGCAAAGAAAGTCTGTGCAGAAGTGAAGATGAGCACTCTATGTAGGCAAAGATAGACTGTGCCGATGAAAACTATATGGAGCCAAAGAAAGACTTAACAGATGACCATGCTATTGAGTAAAAAAAAGACTGTCCAGAAATGTAGATTAGCACTCTATGGAGCCAAAGAAATAATGTGCAGAAGTTTAGATGAGCGATCCAGGAAGCCGAAGAAAGACTGTGCTGAAATCTGTATCACTGTCAGTGTGTCTCTCTGCCGGTCTGCCTCTCTTTATCTCTGTCGGTCTGTCAGCCCGTCTCTCTGTCAGTCTGTCTCTTTTTCAGTTTGTATTATTGTCGGTCTGTCACTCTGTCAGCCTGTTTTTCTGTTTCCCTATTTGTCGCTTTGTCTGCGTCTCTGTCCTTGTCTCTTCTTGTCGCCCTGTCAGTTTGTCTTTCTGTCGGTCTGTTTCTAGTTAATCTGTCTCTCGTTCTGTCTCTCCGTTGGTCTCTCTGTATGTCTGACGTCTTGATATCTGCCTCTCTGTCTGCTGACTATCGGGGTATCTAATTTTATGCTGGATTTAGTTAGTCTGTCTTTCTGAATGTCCTTTTCTCTGACTGTCACTCTATTTGTTTTTATGTATATACTTTTTTTTTTGTTGTTTTGAAAATAGATCACAAGTTACTGGTATATTCTTAAAATATTTCTTTCATTTCTGTACAGGAGATTGGACCAAGCCGACTACATCGCCACCCACACCGAGTACGATTGCAACAAGTAAGAGTTCATCTGTGAATTTCTGTTTCTGTTTTATGAAGTGGGATCTCTATTCAAGTTTTTAAAAACCAATTAAATTCATTTGGTTAGGAAAAGTCTCCACTCCTCTCTCTCTCTCTCTCTCTCTCTCTTTCTCTCTCTCTCTCTCTCTCTGTCTTTCTCTTTTTTCTCTCTCAGTGTATCTCTCAATCTCTTTATCTCTATCTCTTTCTCTCTTGTGTATGTTTCTGTCTCTCAGACATTCTTTCGGCGTGTCTTCTTGTTTGATTGTGTTCCGGTCTCATATGTCTCATCCAACGTTTTACATCTCTCCAGCCCCTACGACTACAACAGAGCCAACCACTACCACCACGGGTAAGTTTATCTTGTTTGCGCTCTGCGCATACTGTGTGTTATAGCGGATTTGAATCTAATGCAAAGTTTATTTAATTTATTCCTGAAGAACTTCATAATAAGACCGTCACATCTTCGTTAGTTAAAAGTAATATCACAATCGAATCAAACTCAACACCCCCGTTCAATATTCTGTTTCTTTGAGACAATGTTTGAGATAGATTTTGGTAACCAACACTCCCTGCAGGTCCGTTCGTGGGAGCGTCTCTCCACGAAAACTCGTCATAAAGCGTTGTTTTAAACCCTTGTTAGGGCAACAACGCCTTTGAATATCCCTAGTTGTGTGACAAGAATGCATTCAACCGTATAGTCACGAGCATGTCGTCATTGGGGCGTTATAAAATGGAACGAGTGAGTTGACGGGAGAGAAATATTTAAACTGGCATTAGTGATACGTTCGGCTTTCTATAGTTTTGTTTACTGAGCAATAGCTTAGCCCCAACAGTCACAGTGGCGTACCCACAACTGACGCAGTAGCGTACCCACAACAGATGCAGTGGCGTAGAAATGGGGTGCGGAGGGGTGGTCCGTTCAGAGTAGCACTTTTTTTGCTATAACTGGAGGGGGTGGCCAGCTCTTTCAACTGCTAATTCTGTGGTGGCGCCAGAAATGTTTCCCCGCCCCTGGTAGCATTAACCCTAGCTTCGTTGCTGTAAAGGTGTAATGTTCTTGGGTGGGTACGTTCCTTTTGACCACTAATTATATTTTATCAATAATATCGATTAAACAGCAACACTGTTACATGCCGTCTATCTATCTCATAACGAAATTACATTTTTAGCGGTATCATATAATATTTTTCTACTCGTGTTACTGGTTCTAATTACACATGCAGTCTTACAGTATATCAGTGGTTATAAACTTCTGTTGAGGTACCGTCACGGTGGTTCCATTTACTCCTGCTTAGCTCACCCCCCCCCCAACGCTACCCCTTTTTAAACGCTATTGAGAATAATATATTGTAGGGCCTTTTTACCGCCAGACACATTAGAACACGGGTTGCCAACCCAAATAGTATATCGCAGGCCCTTTTTACCGCCAGACACATTAGAACACGGGTTACCAACCCAAATAGTATATCGCAGGCCCTTTTTACCGCCAGACACATTAGAACACGGGTTACCAACCCAAATAGTATATCGCAGGCCCTTTTTACCGCCAGACACATTAGAACACGGGTTGCCAACCCAAATAGTATATCGCAGGCCCTTTTTACCGCCAGACACATTAGAACACGGGTTGCCAACCCAAATAGTATATCGCAGGCCCTTTTTACCGCCAGACACATTAGAACACGGGTTGCCAACCCAAATAGTATATCGCAGGCCCTTTTTACCGCCAGACACATTAGAACACGGGTTGCCAACCCAAATAGTATATCGCAGGCCCTTTTTACCGCCAGACACATTAGAACACGGGTTGCCAACCCAAATAGTATATCGCAGGCCCTTTTTACCGCCAGACACATTAGAACACGGGTTGCCAACCCAAATAGTATATCGCAGGCCCTTTTTACCGCCAGACACATTAGAACACGGGTTGCCAACCCAAATAGTATATCGCAGGCCCTTTTTAAAAAAATTCAAAAATTACGCTCACTTTAAATGGGTTTATTTGTATAAATTCTTTATTTTCATAATTTACTGAAATATTAAAGTCTCTTTTGGGGGTCGAGATAACGCTCTTGTATGGCCCCTTTGTATGGCCCCTTTGTATGGCCCCTTTGAATGGCCCCCTTGTATGGCCCCTTTGTATGGCTCCCTTGCATGGCCCCCTTGTATGGCCTCCTTGTATGGCTCCCTTGTATGGCCCCCTTGTATGGCCCCCTTGTATAGCCCCTTTGTATGGCCCCCTTGAATGGCCCCCTTGTATGGCCCCCTTGTATGGCTCCAGCAAACACTTGACAGACACATCAAATCTGCCGGACATCGTAGATCATACTTTCAACATGGACGTTTGGGGTCGTACCCGTAGCGAGCACTCATTAATATCGGGCACTCTTCAAGCAAGTGCACAACTGTGTCCGGCGACTGTCCAGAATGACATCAGCTCGGGTTCCAAAGAGGATAAATTCAAGTGAAGTAGCTTCGAGTAGATCAGTGGTGTGTTCTCATCTGGGTGATGAGGCCCTGGCGTTCGAGTTTTGGTTTCCAACATTGATCTCCTTTCCTGTTTGGTTTTGTACCAAGCTCCGGTAAATTTTTCTGGCCGTGCCCATTTTCCCACAAGTTTTTTTAAACATTCCTCCCAAAAAAAGTTCCATTACCCGGGCTTTGACACCCAGCTGGGTCATCAGTCGGTTTTGTTGGGGCTGGGTAGACCCTTGCCTCGCTAGAACGTCAGCTCTGTCATTTTGGGGTAATCCCGCGTGGTGTCCATGGATTCACTGAAGGACCACTCAGCATCCATTTGACTTTATGTCTTGTATAACGTCGACAATGGCATGAACCATCTTCGTGTCTACTGAGCTCCTCACAGATTTTTATGCCAGCTTGAGTCGGTAAGCACTATGGACGGGAATATATTTTTATCTAATCCACGAGACACTACTTTCAGGGCAATAAGTTTAGCTTCGATTTCTGCTTCGAGATTTCTGCTATTTTTTCCACTCGGCCTTGAAATCAACTCGGCTGGACGTAACCCCGTTTGGGACTGAACGAATGCACGGCATCCTGACTTATTTTTGTTAGTGAAGCAAGATCCTTCCGTGAAGACTTTTATGACATCTTACTAGTATGTTTCACTCGTCCTCGGAGCGGTCTCTTTTTTGCACACCTCGAGGACTCGACTTTGTAACTGCGTATGGGACAGTGCGAGATGGAGGTCAGGAGGTTCAAAGCTTTCATTTATCAACAAAAACGTCCCCCCCCCCCTTTTTTTTATAAAGGGTGTCTTCTCAAATGTTCGTAGACCGAGTCCATAAAGGAAAGTCTTTTCAGCCTTGTCCTCTTTGCGCACCGGTCTTGAAAGTGAAGCAGGGTTCAACTTACTCCATAACGACGGTATCTTTCCACGGTGTTAGACTGGCTTTCTCTCTCCCATTTCGGGGCGTGTCTACGTCTGACATAATGTCTACGGCAGACGTGGGTGTTGTGCGTAACGTCTGGCAAACAAACTTGAAAGTTAGGTTCTGTATGCGATTCAGAACCTCCAGAGCCGAGTTACTCGCAAAGTCCTCGACGCGCTGGCTGTAATCGATGTCCCCCCCCCCTTGGCTCCCAAAATATAGTTTTCTTAGGAGCTTTGCATTTTTCGGCACCCCACGTTGTGCTAACGAGTTGCTGTTGTTGTTGTTGTTGTTGTTGTTTTCAGTCTTAATTTCCACGTAGGGCAAACTCCGAGTTCACGGTATGTTGTTTTTGTTTAAATCTGAACATTTTGGTCCAACTCCATTAACATATAGTTGGTGTTTGTCCCATTTGAGTAGTTTCCCCGCAGATCTAAAGAGTTATTTCTTCTTCTCCCTGTTCATCCTTATTTTCCACTTTTCAGCGTAGGTTTGTATTCGCGTGAGGTCCTCCTGCAGCCACTTCTGCAATTGCGTTCACCAGAGCTCCAGATTACACGATAATCTGCCAAAATGATATTTTTCGTTATCGATTTTGAGCGTAGGACGAGAGTGCAGATGAAGGTGGGTTCCTCATCGCTCCAGTCCTCGGGTGCACATTGTTCGATACACTGCCCCCGACTCTTGTGGATATCATGCGGTCTGATAAAATGCACGTATCGACTTTTCCATGTTGGTAACGACACCCAGCTGCTGTAGATCGTACATCAAACCTACACTACAGATCTTGTTTGACACTTTCTGGCTGTCAAAAATACTGTCTCAGAATGATTTTTTAGATGTGCTTCATTGATGATAAATTATGTGTTGTTAGTCCGTAGAGGATGGAGTAAGACCATCGAGTCGTCCGGTGACTGATGACTGGTGACAAGCTGTATCATCCAATGATGTTCCTTTGGGTTATCCAGCGGCGTGGTGAGAGGCGATTTACATTTGGGAACCAGCTTATAATCCTTGAAGAATAATCCCAGGCCATGTGGATTTTGTCCTCCAACGCCCTCTCCATCGTCACATTGTGAAGGACGGATGCCAGCATCAGCAGCACTCACTTGGTCTTTATTGCTATAAGGATTCCTTCTTGGACTTGTGCCGTCAATAAAATGTCAACTGTTCGATCTCCAGATAGTTTCGCTTTTAGCGGCAATCCTTCGCGCTTTTGCTTGTTTTTCTACTAACACCCTCGGAGTCTTTGACGAGTTCGAGGTTTTTATTCCGTTTTTCCTCTTTGTTATTTAAAAAAATGGAGACTTCATTCTTCACAACTTTTTTTTTTCTTTCTGGTGTTTGGACTTGGACTTGGACAGGAGCCAGCATATCTTCGGTCTGGGTTTCTTACTTCTACCATCAACTTTCCAAAACTGCAAGCGCATTTTCCGGAAGCGTTCATCGTTGGCATCGCTGTATTCTATAGACCAGGCCTGCACAGCATACGAACCGCGCGCCGGCATGCGGCCTGCCAGCACCCACTTAGCGGCCCGCGGAGTAACGAAATATTCTTTATTATGATTAATTTCTGGAATATCTTTCTGACCTGTCCTGTTATCTTTTGGCCCGAACAAGTTTTTCATTAAGTATTACGGCCCGCACAAGTTTTCCATAACGCATTACGGCCAACCTTGCACTTTGAGTTTTGCAGGCCTGCTACAGACTATTGATTTGTGATCGCAACCTACCCGCCCAGAACTACGAGACTTTGCTTGGACTCAAGGTCTGCAGATATTTTCGTCAGATATGGCCGTGACTCCGTACTACTTCCCATGTGGAGAAATGTGGCAGCGACATTCTCGTCCTGTAGCCGGATGAGATTGTTAGAAAGACAACTACACTCCACGCAACGTGCTGATGTGTTGCGTTCAATCCAGCCTCAGTTGGATGTGTTGCGTTCAATCCAGCCTCAGTTGAATGTGTTGCGTTCAATCCAGCCTCAGTTGGATATGTTGCGTTAAATCCAGCCTCAGTCGGATGTGTTGCGTTCAATCCAGCCTCAGTTGGATGTGTTGCGTTCAATCCATCCTCAGTTGGATGTGTTGCGTTCAATCCAGCCTCAGTTTGATGTGTTGCGTTAAATCCAGCCTCAGTCGGATGTGTTGCGTTCAATCCAGCCTCAGTTTGATGTGTAGCGTTCAATCCAGCCTTAGTTGGATGTGTTGCGTTCAATCCAGCCTCAGTTGGATGTGTTGCATTCAATCCAGCCTCAGTGGGATGTGTTGCGTTCAATCCAGCCTCAGTTGGATTTGTTGCAATCAATCCAGCCTCAGTTGGATGTGTTGCATTCAATCCAGCCTCAGTTGGATTTGATGGACATTGAAATCACCGGCAATTATTGTCTTCTAAAAAATCCCATTATCCACCACTTTTATAAGCCTTTCCCCACTACAATCTACATGGGGGAGATCGTTTTTTGACTGCTGTAGTGAGACCTTTACACAACCCACATTTGCAGCGGTAAATGGAGTAGTCTACTATTTGAAACATCTTCCATTTTAGCAGCGTTTGTAGGAAATGTTACACTTCCACTTGATATTCGTTGAGTGGCTTGGTGATCTCCCTCGCTTCTCTCTGCTCCCTAAAGACATTTAACTGTAAAATGACGAGGTTTGATTGGCTGCGGGATGACACTTAGCACCATTTTTGTTCGCATGACGTAGGCATGAGAGGGATTGGGTCCCTTACCCAGGAATATTGTCCGCGTCCTACACCAGCAAATGTCTAGGCACTAATGAAAAAAATGACTGGGATGCCAGCTCCCATGTAAAAGTCTAACTGAACTTGCCATTGTGTTACAGAGGCTGAACAATTTGCTTTCACTCTTTAGGTCTCCCTTGTTCAAGGATTCATTTGGTTTTTTCCGTAGGACGCCTGTCTTTTTGTTGTTTTTTATTTTTGCTTTGGGCTGTGACCAACTTGACTGAAACTCCCTAATTCGACGGCATCACTTAGAGACCAGAACCTTTGAACCGGTTGAGAAGTCACTAAATATTACTATTTTAACATTTTTATTTAAAATAACTTATTTGAATTATTACTTTTAAATCAGCCCCACAGAGGAGCAGGTACACCAAATGGCGCACACTGACACTACAATCTGTGTATATATATTTAAAATGTTCATTTATGCTGATAATGAAAATAATAGTAATTAAATAAACAGAAGAGTTCATTGGTGATACATCCGGCGGACGTCAGTTTTTAGCGTGGTGTGTCGCATGCAGCACGGGAACCGCTGGTTGACCACCCCTGCACTAGGCGAAACACAACCTACACTGACGTCACTGAAGGAAGAGACACGATTTCTTTATTCATCTCATTAAGTCATTCCTTTGACAAGTTTCTTATTTAGCTAAGGATAAGTAAGGACTAAATTCAAATTTTACCCTTTATTGTCATGGAAATCAACTTTAAAATTCTTGTTTCTAACAGTGCAACCAAACAATAAATGAAATCTAAACCCAAAAAAGGTTGATATTTACTGGACGAAAAATACTAATCCTTGACTATAGTGTGGTTAGCCTCTTGTATAAGTGTTCACAATTTAGATGTCTTTTCTCTTTATGTATCCATTCTCTTCTCTCTCAGTGTGTCCATTGTTGTATTTCTTTGTGTGTCCATCTTCTCTTCTCTTTTTTTTTTCCATGGACAAAAATGTATGATCGCGTGATAAAGACACAGTTTAAGGACAGCTATTATAACTGTCTACCTTCAACTACAAACTATCCAGAATTGTATCACTCCGTTGTTTGGTTACTGTCTGGGTCAATATGAAATGCTTTCAAATATTATAGTAAACCCAGCCCTAATCGCTGTATATATATCGAATCACACCTTACTTTTAAATTGATAGATAATTTCACTACCTCACATTGATTTTTCTTATACGATACCGCACTAGTTAGCCATTCACAAACCTGTGGTATCCAGGAGGCAAACATTATTGACTGTTTTTAAAGATTATTTAAATGTTAAATTTTATTTGCTTATCGGACATTTATTTGTGCATGTTTATGTTTATTTGCAGTGACCACAACGAAGAAGCCACCGCCCACAGACCATGGAAACTGCATTGTCGCCAGAGGCGTGCAAGATGTCCTGGGACGGTTGTTCATTGCTCTGACCGTTTGGCTGTTGGTGACCATCTTCTAGGAACGTCCATACACCCAAAAAATGGCGTTGTGGGAAAAGTATGAGGAAAACCTTACGGACATATCCGAAGTTCTATTTACCGTTTGTGCTTCGTTGTGACCTTAAATGATCAACCGTACAAGTATCAGTAAAATCGATGAATTATATTTAAATATAAAGTGTGTGATAGATTGGGTGCTGGTCAGATATCTGTGGGGGCATGGAACTAATTTGTCTAGTCTAGGATAGTGCTTCTCGGCTGGTGCTCTTGATGACGTAACCCTCAGTGTGTCAGCGGAGTGGTCAGGCGAAGCTTCAGCATGCTGTATAAACTAATGAATTCAACAAGCGAACTCTTTCATTGCTAGATGTGGTAAAGTTAAAAAATAATATTTTGATTTAAACTAAAATTGTTGACCCCATTAGCAATTAACGCCCGTAACTGTAAAGAATAATATAATTTGGATGTCAAGAAACTTAATACCCACACACACACACATCATTTTACCCAAAATAGAGACCCCCATTATAAATATAATATTGTATCAAATCTTTTTTTCAAATCACATTTAAGAACACTATGTATCTGAATAGCTTTATTTTAACATTTTATTTTGCCTCTTTTGAGAGCCTCGTGTATAACATTATTTACACTCCATTTTTAGCTAAGATCAGTTTAACTTTAACATCCTACCAGGAATCAGATACATTTAAAATCTTTTTAGATTCTGTCAATTGTGACGGTAATTACACATTGATGCATTGATTTTATACTCTTTTTTTTTAATTATATATTTAACTGAATAAACTCAACTTAAATATTCGTTCGATTTTCACGTTTCATCAACAAATTAAAGAAAAAAATTTGGCAAGCTTTTCATTTTTTGAAAATGTATGTATATAATTTTTTTTATTTATTTATCTGTTTAAAAGCTAAAGCATATATTTTAATATGATTGTAATGTCTTACTCATTTGATTATAATTTCTTACTCTTATTAGCAAATATTAAAAGTGCTAATTGCAATCAAATATATATGTTCTTTCTTGATTTATTAATTTTATTCGAAGAGTCAAACAAAAGCAGATATGTACCATTATTTAATGCACATATGCTGTTACAAGACACATGAGGTTACAAGATATATGAGATTACAAGACACATGACGTTATATGACACATGACGCTACTAGAAATATTGTTGCAAGACACGAGGTTACAAGACAGATGACACTACAAGACACGTGTCACTACAAAGACACATGAGGTTACATACACATGAAGTAGAAGACAAACAAAGTATGGGACACATGATATTACGAGAGTCATGATCTACTTCATGTTTTGGTTGCCATAAATTCATACAAGTGTCTGGTTTAAAATTTAACAGATGGTGAAGACGAAGGTTACAATCAAATAATACTCATGGGCTAGGTCAAGACGATGTTGCATGCAATTTGGTGTCTGATGATAACAACATCCTTCTACATCCTCTATCTCTGCTCGGGGAAAGAAGAAGGTGTCTTAAGTCTACATCCTCTATCTTTGCCAGAGGAAAGAAGGTGTCTGAAGTCTACATCCTCTGTCTCTGTCAGCGGAAAGAGGGTGTCTTTAAGTATACATTCTCTATCTCTGCCATGGGAAAAAAGGTATCTTACGTCTAAATCATCTGCCTCTGAAAGGGGGAAGATGGTGTCTTAAGTCTACACCCTCAATCTCTACCAGAGCAAAGAACAAGTCATAACTCTGAAATCTTCAAAAGATTTATCCACAAGATTCAATATATAGAAGTAGAAAAATGGAACGTCAGAATGACTATCAACTACCAGATAGCTGTAATGGCTCACAGATGATATGTTAGACTCGTTAGTTACAATGGCTCACAGATGATATGTTAGACTCGTTAGTTACAATGGCTCACAGATGATATGTTAGACTCGTTAGTTACAATGGCTCACAGATGATATGTTAGACTCGTTAGTTACAGTGGCTCACAGATTATATGTTAGACTCGTTAATTACATTGGCTCACAGATGATATGTTAGACTCGTAAGTTACAATGGCTCACAGATGATATGTTAGACTCGTTAGTTACAATGGCTCACAGATAATATGTTAGACATGGTAGTTACAATGACTCCCCCTCCGGGTTTTTAATGTCAGAGTTTCCCTTCTCTTACACGAGTTGCCATCTAAGGGTAACGGGTCCGCTCTACATACTCTACCTGTATGATGCCATAGTTGTAAAAGCGCTCTCCTCCGTTTGCAGTAATGACCCAGGTTAAGCACCCTCAACACATAGGATAAATCGAAAATAAACACATTTGCATGACCTTTACACAGCCATGATCTCATATAGGATGAAACACAAACGACGGTATCTGTATATTTTTCGTCAAAGCCTTAGAATGATGATGTTAAAGCCTTAGAATGATGATGTTAAAGCCTTAGAATGATGATGTTAAGGCCTTAGAATGATGATGTTAAAGCCTGGCTCTCCTGTCGATGTGCATGTAAGTTGCTTGGACAAGTGAGAAGAGAAACGATGAATCAGCAACCTTTCGAGCTATAGACTTGCGTCTCTTCTGATTCAAATAACTGCCCCAAAGGACATGAAACGTGGACGGCAATCCCTTGAATCCACTACATGAAGTCCAATTGAAGGAAAAGAAGGTTCAACAACAATTAATGCCAGGGCCAGGAGTAAGAACAGACGGATAATATCCCTTCTCAATCAAAATTGATCAGCATCAGGGATGAAAATTATGACAACTAAAGACAAATAAATAATGTCTCAAGAATGCACCGTAATGCTTTTTTTAGCTATTTTTCCGTGAAGCAAAGAAACTGCTCTGGATCTTTTCACGTGAACATGCAACATAATTTTTCAAAAAATTATATTTTTTAAATCACAGATTTTGTAATTTACTGATTTTCTTTTATTTAAGAGTGAATGTTATACCTGAAATGCCGAGGTGGGTCACCGGTGGAACAAAATGGAAAAAAAGAGGAGGTCAAGGCGACATGATAAGAAAGAAAAAATGAAAGTCGATCTTGATTTTTTGACCCTAAGTATTTTTAAGTATTCGTGTACACCAGAGGATAGTGCTGTTTTAAAACACAGATTCTTTAAATGGGTGTGCGAACTTGTGTCCTTTTTTAAAATATGTTTGTAACGCATATCTGAGGTTTGTAACGCACATTTGATTTTTTCAAGATGTGTGCATACACTTAGATGACAAAATTGCGCCTCGTCTCATTAAATTAATCAAACAACCCTTTCACACAAGATTTTGGGTATACATCTCTTCAAGGCATTTTTGTTTGCATTTATCTAATTGCACGTGATTTATCATTGATGTCATTGTACGTGATTTATCATTGATGTCATTGTAGAAACTGATTTTTGGTATGGGAATGTTTGATATCAAAGTAAGTGCATATGAAACCTAATACTAATATACCAAATATATAATTGAATCTCAAATAAGTCATAAGTAAGAAGCACACAGCAACAGCTAAACAATAATTTATCTCCATACCAAAACATGACAAGCAACCATTGAAGGAATCATTAAAATCCCCCCCCCCCCAACCCCAAACCTTTTTCTATTTATTTTTTTGAAAACGGGTAAACCTGATTTTTTTTTTTTTTTTTTTTTTAAAAACGGGAAATCTTTTTTTTTTTTTTTTTTTTTTTTGGGGGGGGGGGGGGGGGCTGAAAATTAGAACAAATATGCTGGCATCGAGTTTTCGTGTCACCTTTGAGCTCCACAGGGGGCGGAGTAAATTTTTAAGTGACGGAGAACGGGAAATTCATGCCATGTGGTGTTAGGGTCCACGAAAGCCTGAATCGGTTGGATTTCTAAGTTCACCATCTTTGACATGTTGGCACAAGACACGATGATGGTGATAGCATTGCTGTTAGTAGAAAACTAAGATCATTATCATTAATTTTTAGTAAATGCATTTCGCTGCCTAACTTTTAAAAGTAAATTAAGATTAAAATTCCTTTTTGGAACTGGAGCCTATTCGTTGTGGAGTGAGTGGTAAGGCCTGTCTTAATAGACTTCCATCATTATTGTTTTTCCTTATTTATCATTTGTTTTATATCTCTAGATGTCCGAGATGCCCATCATGTCCGAGATGTCCTTCGTCGTCCAAGATGTCCTTCATCGTCCCAGATGTCCATCATGTCCGAGATGTCCATCATGCCCGAGATGTCCATCATGCCCGAGATGTCCATCAATTCCGAGATGTCCATCATGTCCGAGATGTCTATCATGCCCGAGATGTCCATCACTTCTGAACATTACGTAACTACACGCACTTCATGGACATAACTTTTAAATTTATTTGGTTTTTTTTACAATTTATTTTTAAATTTCACAAATACCCTTTATATTAATGTTAATAATATAAAACTGCTAAAACCTAGCTACGCAATTGCAAGTTAGATAAATATTGCACTACTAACCCTTCTAAGCTATTGCCTGTTGGAAAATGTTTCTACATAAACCACCCTCAACACTCTAAGTGCATAGGTAACTTATGGAGAACCCTTAAATAAATTGTAAGTTCTATTCCAGGGTTCAGCAAACTTTGAAAGTACCAGCGCCCCCTAAAAGATACCCAACATTTTAGTGCCTCCCCCCCCCCTGGGCTTTCTACACGCCTCCGCTCTGGAGCAGTATCACCAATTTTTGGAACCAGATCACTATTCGTATTTGCTATGCCCGTGGTGCTCTGGCCTATCGCGAGCCGACACATGTGCGAATGGACCTCTAGACTGTGAGTCGAAAATTTGGTTTCTCCAAGAAGCACTTTATAAAGAAATGAACTATGTTATGTGGGCTGTACTGTTAAAACCAACTGGCTCTCATAAATGTCAAAGGACGGCTGTAGAAGATCGGCTGCCGAAGATCAACCGTTATGGCAGCTTCCGTTTCGTTATCAACTGACGTCTGCGGTTTCTCATTTCCCTTTCTTTTTTTCAAAATACTATTATTATTATTATTATTATTATTATTATTATTATTATTATTAGTATTATTAGTATTATTATTAGTATTAGTATTATTATTGCTAATTCCGAGTAGACGGGACATAATTTACTACCATCCCGGGGTAAAATTAATTCGGGTAAAAATATACTGTTAACTGAATTAACCCATACACGACGTGTTGTTTTTAGATACTTCATTGTTTTTTGTCTATTTCTGAATGGAGGACGGTGTTAAAATTGCTTGAGAAGTTTGGTTCTTGCTACTAGTGGCTTCATGTCTCCCTGCTAGACCCTGGTAATAGATAACTAGCTGATCAAAATGATTGCTAAGGAAAAAAGTCGGATGTGGCCGACTGTAGAAAAATCCTTTACACTTTATATGAGTTTAGCATCCTTTAGGTCACGAATTCTAGTTTCAAATCATACTCCAAACAATAACAAGAAGCTCTTCTAACAAGTTGTAGCAAGAGGTTCGTTTCGAACACACGTACTCGCACAAAGAAAAAAGGTTAAATCATGGATCTATACATATGCAAATGTCATATTGGGTTCATTTCAGAAGGAAAAAAAACACAGCATAGTATGAAGGTAGTTTGACACATAAAAAAAAACCTGATAAATAAAAGTTACTAGAGCACAAGGACTTGATGTCAGACAGGCTTGGAAATGTATTTAACGTGGTAGACGGCAGAGTAAATAGGCTTAGAGATAGGCTTATACTGATCTTTAATAGCTATTTTTTTTTAAAAAATTGGTGCCTTAAAGATTGAGTTAGAATTTCTATCATAGTGTTACATATCACAATAATTACAATTAATTTATAATGAGAAATCTAGTTTTATTCCTTTTCATTTCCAAGAATGTACCCATTTAAAAGTCCCTATTCAGAATATATCAGGGTAAGGTTAACATTTGAGAGCCTGTGTACATAGCTGCTGAGTTTAAAAATGGAGCTCAGTGAACTAGATTTTACTGATCGTGACTTTGAGCAAGAATTTGAGACAATATGTAACTTGCTAAAAAAAAAATTAAATTAAAAAAAAAAAAAAATTTAAAGTTTGGACCTGGAATTTTGGGGCATATCTCGGGGTGGTAGGATTCCCAAGGAATTTTTTTTTATTAAAAAGCGTAATGTGGGAGCCCTGTTCCAAAAAAAACCACCAACTGCCTATGTTATGGGCATTCAATTGAAATCGGAATCACCAGACATAAATTTTAAAGTGGAAAAAAGTGGGTTTGGGGTGGGGTGGGGGGGGGCTACTGGTGTAAATTAGTTTGACAGATGTCAATGTATTCTTACTTGGTTTTTATTTGAAAGGTGCCAGTGTATTCTTACTTTTTATAAATCGTTGAGATTCTTACGAGGAAAATAAATGAAAATAAATGTCATTTATTTACAACAAATACAATTTATTAAACATTCTCATACAAATGAGATAAACTTTAACATGTAGTTGATTCTGTGTGTGTTATGTATAGCATTGCGTATAGCACTGTGTATAGCACTGTGTATAGCACTGATATTTGGTCATGTTAAATCTTTGGTAAATTTACGCTCACTCAGGACACGCAGAGCTGTGACCATAATTTAGCGGCCCAAAGCGCCACCTAGCAAGTATTTAGAACGTCCCTTGTCCCTGCGCTCCACGACATGCTGGGTGTCGTCGAGAAGCTCTCTCAGGACAAGCTCCCTCAGCGGAACCTCAGCTGCACGTTGGGCGTCCTTTGAGAGTAACGGCAGTATCTCGTCCAAGTCGACTGACAGTTTGTGGCTGGGCTGGAAGGAATCCTCTAGGGATGACGGAAAGGCGCGGCCATTGCTAAACAGCATTAGAGAGGCTAGGACCAACAGCATGTGGGAGGCTGACATCCTGTGCTGTTGGAGATGAGAAAATGGCCTTGAAATAGGGATGCGTGGAGAGGGAACCGTCATCCTTTTATTATCTAATTAAACACATTTTAATTCTGTTCCTCATATTTTTTTTAAATTTTAAAAAAGTTTTTAAATTACGCATTTACATTTAAAAATATTAACAGTTAATATCAGAGGCTCTGCTACAGCGATATAGCTTGACATGTGCTTTACATTTATATTGGCTACCGAGTTATTAAAATTTTGCTTCTGAAAATGATAACCATCTAACACAAAATTTATTGAATGTATCCATATTATAACAACCCTTAAAATGTTTCTCTTATAAATCATTTTTAAAACGTAATATCCAGCAATTAGAGCTGGGGTTACAGTTGGATAAAAATGCAATGAAGTTACTTACTATATAAGAATTACCCCCACCCACGCCACTGAACTATATATATATATATTGTAGTGACCCATCCGCTTTTATTACACCAACTATTTCAGAAAAAACAGAACAAAAAATTACGCACCAAACGTATTTGTGATTTTTAAAAAAAGAATCTAATTTAGCACACTTATCGGGAATATTATGTCGTGAAATGAGTGACATCATATTTCCTTGAAAAGGAATTTTTCTTTGAAAAAAAAAAAAGGAAAAACATATTTTTGGGGTGGAAAAAAAAAAGAGGGGGGGCTGTTAGGCTTGGTATTTGACAGAATGTTTGTCATCGGCATCGAGTCTATGTGCCAAGTTTCCGCTCGACAGTTTGACAGGAAGTGGGTCAATGCGCAATTCGAAGATTTTTTTTCCACCCAGCAAGAAAGAAAAACTCGAACAAAATCGAAGTTTACATAAAGGATTGAAGAATAAGTGGCACTTTAGACCTACCCACTGTACCTACTTGTCTCCACATGATGTACCGCCTCATACCCGCAGATGGTAGAGAACAATAACCCACATATTGTACCGTGTCAAAGCGTTAAAAAGCGTAAGGCGCCCACGCAATACCACGATGTCCTATGACTCGAGAAACACAGCGCTGGGCACGTTTTGAGGTTTGCAATGATTGCAAAGTGAAAGTCACGTGGCACCACTGTTATGATAGAGATTACCGGGATCATGGAGATATGAGTTCTCACAACTTCCTTGCATTACTTTTGTATGCTCCAAATCGAACCTGATCTTAACACGTCGGAAGAAATTAGCTCCACCGCTTCTTTCATGTCTTTGCGATTTGCAGATCATTGAGGTTGTTGGCGCCCCCCCCCCCGGACATTTTTAGTCATACGCCTGTATGAAATCTGAAGTTTTGGGGAAATTTAATTTATACTGTTTTCTTTGTATTTGGAATAGCTTGTAGGTTTTTAAAAAAAAATATGTGGATGGTATTTAGTTTCATTGTTGTATATTGCTGCTGTATATTGCTGCTGTATATTGCTGCTGTATATTGCTGTTGTATATTGCTGCTGTATATGGCTGTTGGAGGCCTCTAGCCGAAAAGCCAGCAGTTTTGTTTTGTCCTCCTTCAGGTTTTACAAAACCCTCTGTCTATTTCTTCCCGTGTGCCGTATTCTTCCTGTCTGTTATATTTCTTACTGTGTGTTATATTCTTCATGTGTGCTATATTTCTTCCTGTGTGCTTTATTTCTTCAGTGTGCTGTATTTCGTCAATTGTGCTATATTTCTTCCTGTGTGCTATACTTCGTCCATTGCGCTATATTTCTTCCTGTGCTATGTCTTCCTGAGTACTATATTTCTACCAGAGGGCTATATGTCTTCCTGTGTGTTATATTTCTCCTGTGTGCTATATATTCTTTCATGTTCTCAAACCCTCTGTTGTCAAGGCCCTGTTGTCAAACCCACTGTTGTCAAACCGACTGTTGTCTAACCCACTGTTTTCAAACACTCTGTTGTCAAACACACTGTTGTCAAACCCACTGTTGTCAAACACACTGTTGTCAAACCCACTGTTGTCAAACACACTGTTGTCAAACTCACTACCCACTGATGTCAAACCCACTGTTGTCAAACCCCCTTTTGTCAAACCCCCCCTTTCTCAAACCCACTGTTGTCAAACACACTGTTGACAAACACACTGTTGTTAAACGCACTATTGTTCAACCCAGAGTTGCATGCTTGCTGTTCTTAAACACACCGTTGTAAAACCCACTTTTGTTAGATACACCTTGATAAACTCTCTTATTCTAAACGCACTCTTGTTAAGCGGAGTTTATGGTTTGAGATGCAAACACATATTTAATTTTTTTACTTTGCTTCGAACATTTACTTAACAATTAAATTAATCATCCACAAAATGTGATGTAATAAGATGCTCCTTAAGAATATTTGGTGTGCTCACTAAGTTGATTAGCTTTCTATGACAAAGAGATATCAATCTAGCAGTTGAATGCGACTAAGTGAATCAAATAATAAGAACATTGATCACGGGAAGTTAAACATTTTTTCGAAGGTGACTAGAGCACGGGCGCAATCTCAAAGGTCCTTTTGAGTCTGCAAAAGACCCACTCAGTAATCTAGTTCATTAAACAGCATTACACTAAGGCTTACCAGACCAATTTCCATCTCTGAACTAGGTGAGTGTTGTATTTGAGGTAATCTGGATCTGCGAGCCACCAACGGAGTGTCCGCCTATTCCCATAATTGTAGCTTAAATAGACCCAAGTCCATCGCTATCTGTAAATAAATCATTTTTACAGCTTTGTCCTAACGAGAAATCATTGCTTGCACTCGACGTCTTTGACAGAATATCCACAACAGCAGCAGTGATTATTTCAGCAATTTTCCCCAAGGGGGGCACTTCGTTTTTTCGGGGGTGGGCAGTGCCAGCAGTGCCAGTTGATTTATTGTTGGAAATATTTTTGATCGGGGGGGGGGGGCGGCACTTGGCTTTCCTTTTCCCGGGGGGGGGGGTCGCTTAATAGATATATACCCTTCCCCCCACAACCACACCAACCAAAAAAAAAGCCACAACGAAACTATAAGAGACAACTGACATTAATTGAGGTCAGAGGTCAAAAACATCTCCTCACTTGTTAGTCAGTTGAGGTATCAAAACAAATACGGTTAAATTGTATTTTTTTTTAAATGACCTAACCAAACACAAACAAACCAAACCACAAACACCCAAAACATAAAAAAACAACAAAAAACACAACCACAACCAACCAAATTCTTTAAAGCAACTATGGGCACGCCATCCGATATCCCATTTAATTGATTAAAAACAACAACAACAATAAAAAAAACAACAAACAAACAAACCAATCTCTTCTCAATTTCCATCAATCAAAATAATGATGACGGGCTGTCGGCGTCCAGATGAGACACCTCGTAATTGAAAACTATTTTTTTTTATTAACAAAAACTTGGATTTAAAACTTGTAAGTTTGACTCGCTCTTCATTACCTTTGAGTCAACATGAGGCCTCTACTGCTCACGCTCATGGTTCTGATCACCATTTTTCATCCATGCCCCAGTAAGTATTTGCAATTATTCAAACGTTCGTAGAATGAAAAAAAAAATAATTTAACTGGCTTTTTTAAAAATATAATTTTTTTTTTGCACCTTTGTTTAGCAAAGACGGTTTAAATGAAACACTTCTTTGAAGCTTGGTTTTTAATGACAAAGAAATCCTAATCTACGCACGCAGGTCTCAGGGATATGGGGTAAGATCACGAAGGAAAGCGATATTTATTTTCGGAGAAAAAAAAAGGCACAACGGGTTGAAGCATATCATTTCCGCTGTCATATTATTTGTGGTTGTCACGGTTTGGCTAAGTAAACTTGGTTCGGATGACGTCACCGTGAAATGAGAGGAAAGAAATTATTCAGCGTAAAAAGTATAAACATTATTTTTTTAAAACTATATAATTGGGGGATGTTTCGTTTAACCCTACTTAACTTACTGGAATCGTGTTTAGGACCAAAGAAATATGATTTTGGAACCAACCCATGATTGGTAAAAGTAGATGGCGACCACCGGCAAGCTGCCCTGTTTTTACACATTTTAATGTATACTATAAGAGGGTGTAAATAATAAAGGATGGGTTTGAGAGTATAATCAAAGGTCACGACGTCCTTTTGTGTTGGCCGTCGAACACTATACGATGACGTACAGGATTGTCATAATTTGTCCACTGAGAATGTTTCTTTAAACCTCGCGGTTAACTTGATGAAACTCGACCAAACTTTCAATACATTCTGTTTTTCAGTTCAAGGCGATGACGATGAAGCAAAGTAAGTATAGCTATGTTTGGATTTGTGTTTGTGTTTGTTTGTGTGTTTTTTGTGTATGTGTGTGTGTGTGTGTGTTTTTGTGTGTCTGTGTGTTTGTGTATGTGTAAGTGTGCATGTGTATGTGTTTGTGCATGTGTATGTGTATGTGTGTCTATGTGTTTGTATGTGTTTGTGCATGTGTATTTGTGTGTTTGTATGTGTGTGTATGTGTTTTTATGTGTTTGTGCATGTGTATGTGTGTGTTTGTGTGTGTGCCTGTATGTGTTTGTGTGTGTTTGTGTATGTGTGTGTGTTTGTGTTTGTGTGTGTGTTTGTGTGTGTGTGTTTGTGTATGTGTGTGTGTTTGTGTGTGTATGTGTTTGTGTGTGTTTGTTTATGTGTTTGCGCGAGTGTGCGTGTGTTTTAAATGCGTTAAGGTGTCAAATTATTTTAACAAAATAAATCAAGTAAGTATGGATATTGTTCTCTTTTAATTTGAAACAATGTCCTTGACCTTGACACGTTTGTTAAAAGTTGGAACGATCTTAGGATTTTAGAGGTTGGAAAGTTGTTCGGATATTTAAGGTTGAAACAATTTCCGGAAATTAGAGGTTGGAACGATATGGAGATATTGGAGTTTGGAACGATGTACGGATATTAGAGGTTGAAACGATGTTATGATATTGGAGGTTGAAACAATGATCGGATATTAGAGGTTGAAACGATGTTATGATATTGGAGGTTGAAACAAAGATCGGATATTAGAGGTTGAAACGATGTTATGATATTGGAGGTTGGAACGATGTCCGGAAGTTAAATTAAGCTCTAATCTGAGCAAACGTTGGGACCGTCTTCGTAGTCTGAATAAAAAGTTGAAAACTCTTTCTTCGCATTGTCAGGCGGTGAAACTGACACGTAGCTTTGTGATCCTAGAGGATTAAATGTTAAATACTAGCAGATATAAAGATTATAAGGAGACATATTTATTATGCGAGGGAAGCCAACACAGAAATAACCGAATGTGAGATCATCAGCACTGTTCCAGCCGGAGAACTGCGGGCTATGAAGGAGTCAAACAGGCAGAAGATGCGCGAAATAAAAACCTTGCAAAAAAAAAAAAAAAAAGCATTATGGAAAGCCAAATTTAACCAAGAGTCAATGTTCAACTGCGAGCATTTCAGTCGAGACAGTCATTCCAGGATCGGCCTCGTAAGCCATTTAATCATGTGTCAATAGCTTTTTCATCGTCTCGCGAAGACATTAGGATGACATATATGTAAAAATGTATTTAAAACAATTTAACACACATAAGTCTATTCGCAAGGTACTTTAGGTTACATAACATTATTAGACACTTTTAAAACGCTAACTACCTTCAGTTGCTTTAATTTATAAATATTATTTGATTTAACTCTCTGCAGTCCGACTATAGAGAAATGGTACTTATATGTACCATTGATTTTGTGGGTGGGTTATTTATTTTTTAACTTTTTTTTTTATTGAAAAAAATTATTTATTATATTTTAATAATTTGTTTCATTGGTTTAGTATTTGTAAAAAAATTAAAATTATTACAAAATTTGAAATTACTATTTTTAAAAAATATTTTTGGAAACTTATTCAGCGCGGAGTATCCCTTGAAAGCTTCGCAGATTTCCAAAAAAACAAAAAATATAAGTGTCACAAAAAAAATTAAATAGTAGTATGAATATTGTCAAATGATTTTAATTTCCCGATTTATCAAGGAGTTATTTGTTTGTCTAAAGCAATGTATCCAAATGGAGACTCTAATCATGAAATTTATCACGATTTGCATATAAAAGTACCGACTAATGCTATCGTAAACAAGTAAGCTTAATTTTAATTATCATTTCCCGACTTTAAAATTAATAATAAAACAATAAAGTGATATTTTTATAATTTTAATTGGCTGAAGTATATATTATCCATTTATACTTACATTGATATATTCTATTTGAATTTTATTGAGTTTCAATAATTTATAATAAATAAATAGCGTCGCTATGCGAAATAAATATTTTTTAAAAATAGCGGAAAATTTCGGCCGATGGGAACTTGCGTAATTAAATAAATTTAAAGTTAAGGACTTCTGAGTTATTAACTAAATATATTTCTTTAAAATATGTTACAGCCAAGAATAATCTTCAAAATTTTCTAATATTGCATAGTAGAAATGTGTTTAAATTTAATTATCACTATCGTTAGTCACTAGTAATAGTATTAGTAGAGACTACTGTCGGCAGAATAAAAAAAAAAAATTTATGTTTTTATTAAAAGCTCTCTAACTCTATTGGGAAGGAGGAGAGAGAGACAAAAATGCAGATATTGGATCAAGAAGCCCTTATTCCTTATTGATCCTAAATATTAAGCATGGACTCCACCCTTTTACTGAGTTACAGAGTTACTGGATGAATATCTTTGAAGATTTTACCCTAAAAACAAGTGGTGGTAAGTTTTAATCTAATCACTTGGTAGTAAAATGCATAAAGAATAAACTCACAATATTGTTATAACATATGTTATAATGTATTTTCTAGGTACAATGGTTTACTTTTATACTAATTTAGGCATTTGGACTAGGATTAATGGTATTTTCCCTTACTGATAGCATTCTATTACTGATACCATTAGTGTTATTTTAATTATGAATCAATCAAATTTTTTTTTTTCACAGGTTCTTTATTAAGTGAATATTCTGTGTTGAAAAATCTTACCTAATCTTATGTGGAAATCAAGTCCAGGACAAGCTCTTATTTATGAAATATAATTATTATAATAAAACTGCAGACTGTTTTAAGAAATAATATTTGTTCAGAGTCCATAAATATAATTAAGGAATAATGTAGTTTATCTGTGTTATGTGAGGATTATAACAAAGATATATAAAAATGCAGGTACATGGGAAAAAATAGATCACATTAGTGAGGAATGGATAGTATTTGACATTAATATCAAAATTAGCATTATTGTACTGATACATTTTAATTTTTTTTAACTTTAACATCAGCGAATACCGCTATTTTAAAATTTAAAAAAAAAAAAATTGACTCTTGTTTTGAGTTATTTATATATTCATCAAATTTTACTTAGTCATCTTTTACTCAAGAATTATTAAGAAATATATTTAATATACAAATCTATAAGCTATGAGACCCATTTTTTAAAAATATATTTCATACAAAACATAATTTTCATTAAAAGAAAAATTATAGTGCATTTTTTCGGAAAAAAAGACAAAATATAGGTTTTGCTAAAATGTTGACAACGTTTTGATTGTTCAAAGAATTTTTGTCATGTTTGACTATGAATTGTATAAGTTGATAAAGTATTTTATTTAAATAAATTTTAAATCTTTTATATCAAGGATTTTTTTT